CTCCTCCTCCTCCTCCTCAAACCCCCTTCCCTTTGAGCACTGATGATGTTGCCTAGTTGGGTCATGAAACGTCTGCAAGGAAACAAGCCAGCTCAGAGAGCACCCAGGACCCCATAGTCCTTTCTCTTTTTTCCTCCTCCTTTTCCTCCTCCTCCTCCTCGTCCTCCTCCTCCTCCCCACTCCGCAAACCTCATTCCTTCCAGTACTGATGATATTGCATAGCTGGGTAATGAAACAAGCAAGCTGAGAGAGCACCAAGGACCCCACAATCCTTCCTCCTCCTCCTTCCCACTCCGCAAACCTCATCCCTTCCAGCACTGATGATGTTGCCTAGTTGGGTAATGAAATGTCTGCAAGAAAACAAACAAAGCTCAGAGAGTACAAAAGACCCTACAGTCCTCCTCCTCCTCCTTCTGCTGCTGCTGCTGCTGCTATTTGCAAACCCCCTTCCCTTCTAGCACTGATGATGTTAGCTCGTTTGGTAGTGAAATGTCTGCAAGAAAACAGACCCAGCTCAGAGAGCACCAAGGACCCCACAGTTCCACCCTGAGCTACGATTTTCTCCTGCCATTGTCTTGGAAGTGTTCCCTCTTGAAGTGTGGTGGTCTGTTTTTCAGTTGATTTTCTTAATTGTTCCTGGCACAGATTTGTCAGTTGGTTTGCTAATCTCATTTTATAGAAAAGGATATGAAAGCCACTCTTGAATCTGGGAAGACTGGAGGGATATTGAAGCCCAGCAAATGAATGAGATTAATGATGATGATGATGATGATGATAATATCATCATCATCATCTTTGTTTGTTCCTTCCCATGTATAGAATCCAGGAACCAAAGACCAGATTCCAAAAATGATAAAGATTTTAAGTGGGGAAATGGCCATTGAATTGCACCTGCAGTTTTTAATACGAAATAACAACACGGACCTCATGATTCTAAAAAACACTAAGGTAAGGCCTCTGTGTGTGTGAGAGTGGGGGGGAAGGGAGAGAGTGTTTGTTTTGTGGCTTGCCTGAAGGCTGAATAACACACCTTGAAAGACTTGCAAAAGGTTGATAATAATAATAATAATAATAAAGTCATAGAAAATGATAAAATTAAACTGCTCTGGGACTTCAGAATTCAAACAGACAAGCACCTGCAACATAACACCCCGGACTTAACAATTGTCGATAAGAAAGACAAAAAAGTCTGGATAGTGGATGTGGCAGTGCCTGGAGACAGCAGAAGAGACGAGAAAGAACTGGAGAAGATAACAAAATACAAAGACCTACAAATAGAAATAGAAAGACTGGGGCAAAACCAAGCAAAGGTAGTACCAATAGTCATAGGGGCCTTGGGTGCAATCCCAAAACAACTGGAGCACCCCTTGGACACCATCATCGGCACTGACAAATTCGCTATCAGTCAGTTGCAAAAGGCGGCCTTACTAGGAACCGCTTCCATCCTGTGACGAGATCTTAATACCATCAAACATCCACATCTGCCTATCCCAGGTCCTGGGTAAGGACTCGATAGGTAGACAAAATGCCAAATCCAGTCTGAACATCTGGCTGACTGTGCGATGATCCATAATAATAATAATAATAATAATAATAATAATAATAATAATAATAATAATAATAATAATAATAATAATAGTTGGAAGGGACCTTGGAGGTTATCTAGTCCAACCCCCTGCCATTTCAGACAAATGGCTGTCCAGTCTCTTCTTAAAGACTTCCAATATTGGAGCATCCACAGCTTTTGGAAGCAAGGAGTTCCACTGGTTAATTGTTCTCAATGCCAGGAAGTTTCTCCTTAGTTCCAGGTTGCTTCTCTCCTTGGTTAGTTTCCATCCGTTGCTTCTCGTCCTGCCTTCAGGCACTTTAGAGAATAGCTTGACTCCCTCTTCTTTGGGACAGCCCCTGTGATACTGGAACATTGGCTATCATGTCTCCCCTCGTCCTTCCTTTCATTAAACTGGACATACCCAATCCCGGCAACCGTTCCTTCTATATTTTAGCCTATGCTAGCATAGATGATGCTACCTAGTTTGGTAATGAAATATCGGCAAGAAAACCTTGAGGATTTTTTTCCTTCCCTACTTTTCTTCTTCTTCCCAATGCTATATTTCAAATGTAGACCCTAACAACCTCTTTTTAAATTATGAAAAATTCAAAGAAAAGCTGACAGGCAGTATTGAGATGTATTCCCCAGGTACATTGGCAGTTCATGTGGTCTACAGCCATATCATCCTGCATGCATAGAACAAGTGAAAGGGTGGCAAAATTCTTCCTTTGGAGAAAAATTTAAGAGTCCTTGGGAAAGGAAGTCGGAAGAGTTCCAAGTGAATGAGGGGACCCAAATATCATTTTGTGGGCTCCCAGATGACTAGATTTCCCCAAGAAAACTCAAGAGAATGTTTTGAGCTGATGTTCTTCACACCTCCATTGAGTTCAACATTTCCACAGCTTGGCATAACGTGAGAATCTGAGGCATTTAGAAGAAGCGAAGCCCAAACTGACATAGTTATTTGGATCTTGGACTTTGCTATGAGCCTAACTTCTAGTTTTATTCTGAAATCATCCTGGTTTAAATCCTGACAGTGTTATCCTTAGAAATAGGTGTTCACCTTTTTGCTTAGTCTATTTGCAAGTGGCCGAGATTGCAGGTTAATTCCTCAAAGGCGGAATCTCTAAGGAGGGTGGAAATTGTCCGCTCCATCCAACATGAAAAGTAAGGCTGCTTACTTACTTGCCAGAATTCCCCAACCAGCATGTGGAGATTCCACGTTGAGGAATTAACCTGCAATCTCATGGCTGGCTGGGGAATTCTGGGAGTTAAAAGTCCACGAAGTTGCCAAGGTTGAACCATATTGATCTTGATGCTCAATATATCCAAATCCATCCATTTTTTTCTTAGAAGAACTATTCCCTATTTTTGAATTGAATTGTTCTAGCAGAACAGTTTTAGCATAAAATAGGATGCTGGAGATTCTTAGCCATCCAGGTTATAGTTATGCCACAGGTGCTTTTTTCAAGGAGGCAACTGGACTTTCTTGTTTTTCTTTGAAGACGTTTCGCTTCTCATTCCAGGAGCTTCTTCAGCTCTGACCGGAGACTGGGAAGGATTTATACTCCTTGCAGACTGCTGGTCATTTGCCTTCTTTTAGAGAGTCGTTGAGGCCACTTGGAGGTCATCTAGGTCAAAACTGAACAGCCCTCTCTCAACAGAGGGGGAGGGATACGACACCATCTATCTCCAGTCTACAACACACAGTCCTTTCAGCAGTTCCAAGAAGGCTCCACACCCATTTTCACCACTCAGGTCACCCTGAGGGCACAGATAAACCTCCAAGTGGCCTCAACAACCCTCTAAAACAGGGCTTTTCAACCTTTTCACCCATTGTACCACTTTTAGGATGTGGCAACATCCGAGTACCACCAGTCGCCTAGCAAGGTGTCAAAAACTTGACCAAAAAAAAAAAGGAAAAAAGTGATAAAGTGCAGGTAGTCCTCGACTTACAACAGTTCGCTTAGCGACTGAAGTTACAACGGCACTGAAAAAAGTGCCCCCCAAGCCACAGCCGAGCAAGACACCTGCATGCCCGCCCGGCGGCGCTCTTCCTCCTGTCCGAGGTTTCCATTGTTGTGAGCATTTCTGTTGAGGATTGGCAGCAGGGGTGGGGTGGGGGGTGTTTGGTTTTTATTCCCCCCCGTCTGCTGGGTGGTTGCAGCAGGTTTTGGTCACTTCACATGACCCTGGGACAGTCGTAAATATGAATCAGTTGCCAAGCATCTGAATGTGAATCACAAGACCCTGGAGAGGCTGCAACATTCCAGCTGATCGGCGCTTCTTCTGGGCTCAGCGGAAGCCCCAGGATCAGCGCCGAGCTCCAGCTGGATCCTGGCGCTGATCCTGGGGCTTCCGCTGAGCCCTGACAGCCCTGCAGCTCCAGCCGTCTCTCGCTCAGGCTTGTGCAGTGCTGCCACCGGTTCAGCTCATTTCCCTCCCCCGCTACCACTTTTCTAGGATGGTCGCGTACCCCCTGCCAGGTGCCAATATACCACAGGTGGTACCCGTACCGCTGGTTGAAAAGCCCTGCTCTAAAAGAAGGCAAATGACCAACGGTCTGCAAGGAGTATAAATCCTTCCATTCCCCCACTATCCAGTCAGAGCCGAAGAAGCTTCTGGGATGAGTAGCGAAACGTCTTCACAGAAAAAACAAGAAAGTCCAGTTGCCTCCTGAAAAAAGCACCTTTGAGCTATGATGCTGTACAGTAATGGAAACAGGCCATTTTTAGCCCAATCACGGGGAAGTGGACATCGAAATCCTGAATTTACAGTTTTCGAAATGAAGGATGTCTCCGGAATTCCCACGATGTTCTCTTTTTTGAAATCCCTCCGTTCAGTTTTTCAAGATTCAAGACAGACCCAGCCCTGCGCTACAAAGGATATTTTGCCAGCCTCGGTTGTGTCCTTTTGTGTTGTTGTGACCTTCTGCTCTCCTCTTTCTCCAGGATGCGGTGCGGAATTCTGTGTGTCATACCGCCACCGTCATCGCCAATTCCTTCATGCATTGTGGAACAACCAGCGACCAGTTCCTTAGGTAACACCACATAGCGGGGTAGAATAATGTGTCTTTGACCGATGGGCAATAGGCTGTGATGACCCAGGGCCCAGCACAGAGGCAGTGCAGTCAGCTGACAATCCAAACCGCCCTTTAATTAATTGCTCCAAATTTTCCCCAAATGCTCCCACGTGTCTGGCAAGCCTCCAAACACAGGAAGACACACACCTTCAGCTGCCTCTAGCTCAGTGTTTCTCAACCTTAGCAACTTTACGAAGTGTGGACTTCAAGTCCCAGAATTCTCCAGCTAGCGTTGCTAGCTGGAGAATTTTGGGACTTGAAGTCCACACGTCGTAAAGTTGCCAAGGTTGAGAAACACTGTCAAGCTGCAAGTAGTTTCACATACAGTCTGATTAGGAGAGGATTTTACTCAAGGCCACGGAGATAACAAGGCCTCAGTTGTAACAGCAATAGCACTTAGACCAGGGGGGGTGGCAGTTTGACACCCCTGACTTAGACTTATATACCACTTTACAGTATAATAATTAATAATAATAATAATAATAGTAGTAGTAGTAGTAGTAGTAGTAGTAGTAGTAGTAGTAGTAGTAGTAGTAATAAAGTTGGAAGGGACCTTGGAGGTCATCTAGTCCAACCCCCTGCTCAGGCAGGAAACCCTATACCCTTTCAGACAAATGGCTGTCCAGTCTCTTCTTAAAAACTTCCAGTGTTGGAGCATTCACAACTTCTGGAGGCAGTGCTTTACAGCCCTCTCTGAGCAGTTTACAGAGTCAGCCTCTTGCCTCCCCCAACAATCTGGGTCCTCATTTTACCCACCTCGGAAGGACGGAAGGCTGAGTCAACCTTAAACCCTGTCAGATCGGACTCCTGGCAGTGGGCAGAGTCAGCCTGCAATGCTGCGTCCTGAGCACTGTGCCACCACAGAAGAGAGGGGAGGGGAAGGAGGGAGGGAGGGATGGATGGATGGACAAATGATGCCTCCCCCCTAACAATCTGGGTCCTCGTTTTACCGACCTGGGAAGGACGGAAGGCTGAGTCAACCTTGATGTCATGTGTCTGAGTAACGAAACACTTAAAAGGACTTTCAGGCATTTTTTCTCCTAAAAGCATTTATTAAGATTACAATACGTCAGCACAGCATGGTGGAATGCTTAGATCTGCTTCTCTTCCGCTACACATAACATTCCAAACATTTTCCACTCCCTTATTGTAGGGTCATGGTTCACATCTTCCAATCAACTTGGAAGATGTGATTTACTTCCAGTTTCTTTCTCCCAGGCTATCCTTATGCTCCTCCCTCTTTCTTGGTTGCTGGTTTAACTATATAAATACCAGACAGTTCTGCACATTGTCAAAGCAAGAATATACAGTATTTGCAGCGTTGACACTTGAACCCTGTCAGGATCGAACTCCTGGCAGTGGGCAGAGTCAGCCTGCAATGCTGCGTCCTGACGACTGTGCCACCACAGAAGAGAGGGGAGGGATGGATGGATGATGCCCCCCCCCTAACAATCTGGGTCCTCGTTTTACCGACCTGGGAAGGACGGAAGGCTGAGTCAACCTTGAGCCGGTCAGGATCGAACTGCTGGCAGTGAGCAGAGTCAGCCTGCAGTACTGCACTCTGACCACTGCTTAAACAACCTAGATTTAATTTTCCATTTTCTTTCCTCAGAGATAATTTGGAGTGGCTTGCGAGAGCTACCAACTGGGCCAAGTTTACCGCTACGGCCAGCCTTGGTGTCATTCATAAGGTAATAAGACCTTTTTGTTGTTGTTGTTGCACTGGATCTGATTTTTTTTTCAGCCTCTCTCAACTTCTCAGTGATCATGAATGTCTGAAGTCCCCTGTCTCCAAACTGCAATTCTGACTTACCTTTCAGACAAGGACGAACCTTTCAGACAAGGACGAGGCGAGTTATTGGGTCTGCAGTAGAGCTTTCTCACATGATACATAATTATTAGGGTATCGTACACTTTGGGTTCCTTGCACACCCCTTCATGATTTGACATACATTTATTGTGGGAAGAATTTTTTACAAGTCCACGCGCGAGTGCATTTATATCTAGGGGGGATCCTGGAAGAACGAAAGAAAAAGGCTTTTAACGGGCCAGATGTGATTGTTAGGAGAAAGCATATGGCTACAGGGTGTTAATCCAGGGGTCTTCAAACTTGGCCCTTTTATGACTTGTGGACTTCAACTCCCAGAATTCCTCAGCCAGCTTGGGGGAACTATGGCCCCTTCATGACTGTTGGACTTCAACTCCCAGAATTCTTCAGCCAGCTTGGGGGAACTGTGGCCCCTTCATGACTCGTGGACTTCAACTCCCAGAATTCCTGAGCCAGCATGGGGGAACTAGGGCCCCTTCACGACTTGCAGACTTCAACTCCCAGAATTCCTCAGCCAGCGTGCCACAAGTCATAAAAGACCCCTGGTGTAAGCATTTAAAGGGGATCCTCCACTTTATAACCACAACAGAGCCAATTTTTAAGGATTGTTTCATAAAATCAAACCCTTGGTAGAGTTTTTGTTTTATCTTTTGCTTAAGAAGTGGCTTTTGGCCCTAACAGAAACGGTAACTTTAATACGTTCCTTTTTCGCCCAAGAATTCAGTTGAGTTCACAAAGCAAAGCAACAGGCCCGAACAGTGTTAAATTACAGGTAATCCTTGACTGCCCCTGTACATCAGAATCCGCCTCCATCAGCTACTTTCAGTTCCCTATTTCTTACTGTCCCAGTCCTTGGGTTCTAAATATATTTGAAACAAGTAAGCTGTCATGTGTCTGATTAACGAAACACTTAAAAGGACTTTCAGGCATATTTTCTCCTAAAAGCATTTATTAAGGTTACAGAGACGTCAGTACAGCATGGTGGAAATGCTTAGATCTGAGATTCTTTTCCATTGCACAGACATTCCAGGCATTTTTCCCGCCCCTATTTTGGGGTCATGGTTCACATCTTCCAATTAACTTGGAAGATGTGATTTACTTCCAGTTTCTTTCTCCCGGGCTATCCTTATGCTCCTCCCTCTTTCCCAGTTGCTGGTTTAACTATATAAATACCAGACAGTTCTGCACATTGTCAAAGCAAGAATATACAGTATTTGCAGCGTTGACACAAGCTTAGCAAAATCATATCCAATAAAAATACCATTGCAAACTGCACAATTAAGCACAGCACGGACTTTGGTTCAATACTTTTGTCCACGAGGCCTGATTCAGTGTACCTGGGCCTAAACCTTGCGTAAAAAGAACAATAGCCAATATTTTCGTTTTCCTCACATGGAAAGGTCACTAAAGGAACCGGTGTAAGTCAAGGACTACCTGTACGTATTAAAATGGCGTAATGACATCCTGGATTTCTAAGGTTGCCCAATTGGGGGGGGGAAATTACTCTCTTAAAAACCATATCGTAGTAATTTTCAAGGCAGGAAAAAGAGATATATTTTTTTTAGAATGGTGGTGGAAGGAGAAAGAGAATGGATTTTCACCCGCCTTCTGTTCTGTTCTGCTGGCTTCCTAGGGTCACGAGAAGGAGGCCCTTCAGCTGATGGCCACGTACCTGCCCAAGGACACGTCTCCCGGCTCTGCCTACCAGGAAGGGGGCGGCCTCTACGCCCTGGGGCTCATCCACGCCAACCATGGAGGCGACATCATTGACTACCTGCTCAACCAGCTGAAGAACGCCAGCAACGACGTACGTGCCACCACCACCACGCCTAATGGCAGGTCGAGCGGAAACCTTAGGCCAGGCAGCGCTGCGTTCCTTGGGCTGCTGAGACTTGGCCCAGGGCTCTGTTCCCGTATCCTGGACATGAAAAGTGCTCTTAAATCACAAAACCATTCCGAAGATCTCATGAGGGGTCCTTGGTGCTCCCTGAGCTGGGTGGTTTTCTTGCAGACGTTTCATGACCGAACTAGGGAACATCATCAATATTAGAAAGGAGGTGGGGGGGTTCACACTGATGATGTTACCAAGTTTGGGTCATGAAACGTCTGCAAGAAAAAAAACCAAGCTGAGAGAGCACCAATGACCCCACAGTCCTTTCCCTTTTTTCCTCCTCCTCCTCCTCCTCCTCCTCCTCCTCCTCCTCCTTGCATACCCCACTCTCTTCTAGCCCTGATGATGTTCCCTTGTTGGGTCATGAAACATCTGCAAGAAAACAACCAAACCGAGAGAGCACCAAGGACCCCACAGTCTTCCTCCTCTTTCTTTCTTTCTTTCTTTCTTTCTTTCTTTCTTTCTTTCTTTCTTTCTTTCTTTCTTTCTTTCTTTCTTTCTTTCTTTCTTTCTCCTCCTCTTCCTCTTCCCTCTTGCACTGATGATGTTACCCAGTTGGACCATGGAACATCTGCATGAAAATCACCAAGTTTAGAGAGTACCAAGGACCCCACAGTTCTTTTTTTCCTCCTCCTCCTCCTCCTCCTCCTCCTCCTCCTCCTTTTCTTTCTTTCTTTCTTTCTTTCTTTCTTTCTTTCTTTCTTTCTTTCTTTCTTTCTTTCTCTTCTTCCTCTTCTTCCTCTTCTTCCTCTTCTTCCTCTTCCCTCTTGCACTGATGATGTTCCTTAGTTGGGTCATGAAACGTCTGCTAGAAAACAACCAAGCTGAGAGAGCACCAAGGACCCCCATAGTCGTCCTCCTCCTCCTCTTTCCTCCTCCTTGAAAAGCGGTTCCTTCAGTTCCCAGACTCGGCTGCCTTCTCTCCAGGATTGGAGCCCAAAGGGTCCTCTTGCTTATTATTATTTTATTATTATTTCTTTTGCAGATTGTTCGGCACGGGGGAAGCCTGGGGCTGGGCTTGGCTGCCATGGGGACAGCACGTCAAGATGTCTATGATCTCCTCAAAACCAACCTGTACCAAGATGACGCAGTGACCGGTCAGTTTCCGGCATCTAAGATAGTGTTCTGGCATCTAAGAATATAAGAGTCGTGGTGTTCATAGACTTATGTTTTATGATGGTGGTTATTTATAGTAGTCAGAATAGAGCTGGAAGGGACCTTGGTGGTCTTCTAGTCCAGCCCCCTGCTCAAGCAGGAGAACCTATAGCAGACATGCCAAACTCACGACGTCACGTGATGTCGCGCAATGTATCGGGTTTATCTGTGTCCTCAGGGTCACCTGAGTGGTGTAAAGGAGCGTGGAGTCTTCTTGGAACTGCTGAAAGGACTGTGTTGTAGACTGTAGACCAGTGTTTCTCAACCTTGACAATTTTAAGGCATGTGGACTTCAGCTCCCAGAATTCCACAGCCAGCATTGCTGGCTGTGGAATTTTGGGAGTTGAAGTCCACATGCCTTAAAATTGTCAAGGTTGAGAAACACTGCTGTAGACAGTCCTTTCAGCAGTTCCAAGAAGGCTCCACGCCCATTTGCACCATTAAAGTGACCCCGAGGACACAGGTAAGCCTCCAGGTGGCCTCAACGACCCTCTAAAAGGATGCAAATGACCAGCGGTCTGCAAGGAGTATAAATCCTTCCATTCCCCACCCTCCAGTAAGAGCTGAAGAAGCTCCCGAGATGAGAAGCGAAACGTCTTCCAAGGAAAAACAAGAAAGTCCAGTTGCCTCGTGAAAAAAGCAGCTTTGGGACTGCCGTAGAGGACGTTTAAGAACACACAGTCACACCTGCTCTCTGCACTATTTTTAAATTTTATTTACATTTTTTTCCACACACTAAAGGACAAATCAAGAAAAAAAAGGAGAAAGGGGAAAAAAATAAAAGAACACAAGAAGTGAACAAAAAAAAAGAAAAGAAGTTAAGACATGATAGCAGCCTTCCAGTATCTCAGGGGCTGCCCCAAAGAAGAGGGAGTCAAGCTCTTCTCCAAAGCGCCTGAAGGCAGGACAAGAAGCAACGGATGGAAACCGATCAAGGAGAGAAGCAACCTAGAACTAAGGAGAAACTTTCTGACAGAACAATTAACCAGTGGAACCACCTGCCTCCAGAAGCGGTGAATGCTCCAACACTGGAAGTTTTTAAGAAGAGACTGGACAGCCATTTGTCTGGAATGCTATAGGGTTTCCTGCCTGAGCAGGGGGTTGGACTAGATGACCCCCAAGGTCCCTTCCAACTTTACTACTACTACTACTACTACTACTACTACTACTACTACTACTACTACTACTACTACTATTATTATTATTATTATTATTATATACTGACTTTCCACTTTCTTTTCAACAGATAGTTGCAATTTTATAAGCTCTCCTCCATTTTACATATTATAGAAGTTCCTTCAGCCCTTCATTTTGTCCATCTTTATCCGAACTTACGATCCAGTGTTTCTTAATTTTTTTTTCTTTCAGCAGAAATTCCATGTGAAGTTTCTAGTCTTTTCAAAAAAAGTTCTATTGGGTTTTTTTTTCCCTCTGAGCAAACAGGTCATTTTTTCCCATTTTTGTGGGTTCTGATTTTTTTCTCACTCCATTCCTCCACTGTGGGTACTGCTGTGCTCAAGTCTTTCTAATAGGCAGCAAAGAAGTACTGGAAGAGTCAAAACACAAGGCTGCCACAGTTATTTAGGAGAATTAGAGAAGAAAAGCCAGAATTATGTGTGATTTATTTTATTTATCAACGTTTCTGAGAAGAGATTGAACAATCATTTGTCTGAGATGGTATAGGGCAGGAGTAGGCAAC